CACATCCCTTTTTCTATCAAATGCTCTGACTCCATACAGAAATGCAATCTAGAAAACCTGTGGTCTTTGCTCTTTAGTAGGAGGTGATCTACCTTCTTTCTCTATTTGTGCCTCTCTTTCCAAACCAAGACAAACACTACAAATTCTGGGAACCAACAGAGTAGAAATCTGGTGGGCTCAGTGGAGTGGGCAAGATGTGGGAGGTTGAGTGGTGAACAGGGTGTGGCAGCAGCCTGCTGCAACCTGGGAAATCTTGTCTTACATAAAGTGGTCTTCACTGGGACAGATACAAGAAAGGGCCATCGTAGTACGTGTTCAGGAAGGAAATTCCTCCCTGCATGATGTTCCACCCTGGATGAAAGCCGTTAGATATAATGCAGTTTTACCAGGTGTGTGCACACCTACATGACAAGGCGAGACCTGAGGAGATTCGACTGACGGACATGGACAGACAGCAGGACAAAGGACAATGTGCTCATAACTGTTGACAAGCTCCAAGTGTAGACAGGGCTCTGTCAAAAAAGAGCAAAAATAAAGAAACCAAAAATACTTCAGATAAAAGAAGATAGCATCATTGTCCTGAAGATTGTCTCTCCAAAAGATATACTACAAGAAGGAAAGTGAGAAAAGTCTATTCGTCCTAGATAGAAAAATGATGACATTACCTCCATGAAATGGGAGCAGAGTGCTACAGACTGAGATGGAAAGATAACAGAAGGAGACAGAAGAGAGACGAGAGGAAGCAAAGGTTACAAACAAAGATACAAAATTTAAAATTGTATTGGAAGTTTCACAAGCAGAATTTAGAAATCAAAGTATGGAGACAAACTTCAGAAACTCAGAATGGAAAGGGAAAGGTTAGAAAAGCAGACTGCAGCAGAAATGATTAAGTGATTATTCTTGTAGTTATGTGTATGTTTAAGAAGAAACAGAAAAAACTAAAGCAACAGCAATAATCTTAAAAATGAGTAAGATATCTCAGAAAAAAAATATTTTAAAACACGTAAGTAGGTAGATTCTGGCAATTTTGTTTAATTGTACAAATAAAATTAAAACTCTAAAAATAAACTTCCTAAAAGTAAATCAAATTAGGCAGCCTCAGACATCTTCTCAGCAAAAGGTTAGAAAACCGCAGAGCAACAGTGCAGACTTTTGAGAGATCAGAGCTATGGCTAAGAATGCTGTACTACAGTAGTGGCTGTTTTTTTGGGTGAAGCCAATGGGAAAATACCCTTACATGCACACAACTGTCTTCCCTCCCTGAGAAAATAATTTAAAAATTAGTATAGTCATTCAGGATATATACAAATTCAGATACTGAAAAATGGGAAACTGGAGTCCAAAAAAATTTTGGACTGGGTGAGTTTGGTGATGGCCACTAGAGTCTGGATGCTCCCGAGTCAGCTGAGACTGACTTTTCGGGCTCTATGGTTTTGTTTCTTTACTGGCATTAGGGCAGGAGCTCAAGAGCTGCTATAAACATCTCAGTTTATCTGGCCTTCCTTGTCATGTCCCGTAATCCCTCCAAACAGTGTCTGCTGCGGTGTTCCTCCAGGATTTGCTAATTATGGCCAACTCACTGTGGGAACACTGTCCCAAAGGACTCTTGAACAAGAAGTAAGTTTTCTCCCCTCAAAAACACAGTACAGAATACTGCCAAATTAAATGTTACCTATTACTTTTGTGGTTAAAAGAAAAAAGACAGACTTCATTAAAAGAAAAAACAGTAAGAAAAAAATTTAAAAACTTATGTTAGTCAATTCAATACTTGAATATTGACTTTCCATGTATTTGAAAGGCCCACATACTGATGACTGTTTTTTACTGGAACAGATTAACCTATCTCAAAGCACATTATTTACCATTTTAGTCTGGGCCCTGTTCATAGTGCTCCCTAAGAATGCTCATTTGCTCAGAAATTAGGAAATTTTGTATTTTACAATGTACAACTGGCATTTACATTGTATTAGAGACGGTTTAAAGCATATAGAAGAATTTACATTACATGAAATTACTGCACCATTTTATGGAAAGGACTTCAGTATCCAATGATTTTGGTGTCCTCAGGAAATCTTAGAGCCAATCTTTCAGATTCCAAGGGGAGACCATATAAGCACAGAAAAACATAAGGGGAAAAGTACCACAATGTATGTAAATAGCGATCATTCCTCAAGATGCTAGGATTCTGAGAGATTTTTTTCCCCTTAAATTATTTGCCACTTTCTAGATTATTTTTCAGTAATTATACAATAACCATATGTTCTTAATGTAACAGAACCAAGACATAAAATAATTATGAATAGATGAAGTATCACACTAATTTTAAAATACAAACAATATTTTGTGGCAGTGGTATAATTAAGTGTCGAGATTCTGGCTAATATTATTTGTATTTCCCAAGTACTTATTACTTCTGTGGTTAAAAGAAAAAAAATAAGAAAAACATTTAAAAACTTATATTACTCAATAATTTATTCATTAGGAGAAAAGGTAAGTAATAAAGAACTCCACCAGTGCTATTCTGGTAAGTAAAATGTATCAAACATCTTTTCCTTTAATTTATATTTTCTGATATCTTCTGTTTGTATACCTCTTCTTTAGTTATAAAAATACACCCAATATTAAATTTGAATCTTTAAAAACTGTCTCTGAGAGATCATGCCCATTTTGTGCTTTCAATTCCATTCCCTAGAATTTCACCAAAATGTTGCTAAAAGGCTCACACTTCCCCCACATGTGGCCAGACCAGCAAGTCACATACTTTAAATAGATTTGATTGCATGTGTGGAGAGGCTCCGTTGTTCCACAGTATTTAAAGATGCTTGTGCTAAATGTTTTCATTTTTCTTCCCGCTCTCTACTCATCTTTGGCTTTTTAGTCTGTGCACTTTTTAGTCTGTGTTATAATTCTGCATTCAGGAGAGGGCTCGGTACATTCATAACTATTCTCATAGACATTTACCCTACCCCATCCTCAACCGTTTGCATTACAAATGCAGCACAACAAATAATATTTTACTTGTATCGTTATATTAAAATTGCTGCAGATATCTTCAGATCGTGTAATGGTAGTAACAAACACGGGCAGGACTGGGTGAAAGGAGAGCTCTCTGAAACTCTTCCAGCTGCCTGATTTATGAATCAGTCTTTGCGCAAATAAGCTGTTGTATTTATTAGTCTAAATCAATTATTTAAGCCATAAGAGTAAGGCAAAGACTCTCTTCCTTTTTCATTTCTGTAGGTTTGTACAGAACACAACAAGCTGAGCAAAACAAACAAACAAACACAGGCTTTAGTGTAAGGGCAGGAGTTGCAAATGTGAATTTCCCAGAAATGTTATGAAACAATGTCAGAACTGTTTCAATTACTAACAGACAAAGGACAAATTCTTCCTCTACTGGAGATAGAAGTTCAGCTTTTGGGTCAAAATCAAAGCATAGTCTACCTCAGTGGACACAGAAACTTTGAATTTTTTCCCGACTACATTTGTAGTAGGGCTTCTTACTGGTGCTTTATAAGATTTTTTTTTTTTTTACAAATATGCACATGAGAGTTTTATATTGATGCCATAAAAACAACTCCATGCTAACAGTTGTTGCCTAAACCAATAACATCTAGAAATTTAAGACACAGTATTTAAACCCTAAAGTTATTACACAGTTGACCAGAAAGACTGTAAAACCTGATTTACTATTCACTTTATTCTATTGGAAAAAAATTTCTTTTTTGTGCAAATAATTTAATCTTGATTAGTATTAATAGAGAATAACATCCAAAGACATATTTCTGGTTTGGAGAATAAAGCAACAGAATAGTTCTCAAATAGGAAAGTATTTGCTATTTGCCTAAATAATCGATTTTTTAGATAACTTGTCTAGGAATATAGTTACAGAGCAAGGTTGACGAAGGTACTAAATGATGCCAGGAAGATTTTTGTGATAGAAAAAAAAGGGGAGAAATGCAGTTTTTCATATGGTTTTAAGAAATATCAGGAATGAAAACGTAAGTTTACTTTTCCTATTTTTTTCAAATTTGTTCCCCAGGGGAACAAAAAATGTAATACAAATTCGTTGGTTAGAAGTAATCAAAGTTATATTTTCATGGGCGTTGGAAATGAAAACAATGGTAGAAAGCTATGGAGTAAACAATGTAGAATATACAGCTGGTTCTCGCCATAACACCCTCTTACATTTTGAGTATTTTGGAACTAAAGGGCAAAAGGATCTAAATTTCCAAAAACACCTGTTTAACGTTGATAATATAAAGAAAAATAAAATAGTTGCTTTATGCTTTTAAAATTTCCATGTGTCTTCCAGGTTCAGGCTCCATGACTTACGGACATTGGGAATGATACAATTTCTATTGAATGGCAATGAATAGCCCTACTGAGATTTTACATATAAAAAGCAGCAGTGTATCAATGTAGTACCCTTTTGAAGGACAGAGCTTTCACATGACCCTTCCCTAGAGAAGTAGGTCGGTGGTGACACTGGTGCGTCATTCAGTGAAAGGAGAAAGTCACAGGTGCAAAGAAAACTTATCTCAAAGCAGGGAAGATTTGCTATTTCCACAGAATCTATGGAAATAAAAGTAGTTCATTCTTTCTTTTGTCTGCAAGCCTGAATGCTGGGTTAATCTCAGCCATCACTGTCCTGCTTTCATGGTACATTCCCACAAAAAAGATTTCCTTTCCAACTACAGCTCTTGCTATCCTCTACACCTACTGTACCAGGATCAAACTCAGGACCTTGGGCTTGCAAGTCAGCTGAGCTAAATCCCCGGACCTTTACAATAGTTTAAATTGAAACTATTTACAAGTTTCTCTTCTAAGGAACACTTTTTTTTTTAAGTTTAGTATTTTCTACTTACATTTTTGAGTTAAAACTAAATTTGCGAAATTTGCTAAACATCACCAAAGTCTTTGCTACATTATTAACATTTCAAGACATAACTCACAGTTTAAAATCAACAGAAAACGAAAAACCAGTATTGTGCAATTACCTCATCTGCTTCTTTCTTTTCCCCTGGTTTAGGAGATGATCCACTGGTCTTTTCATTGACATGCTAAAAAAAAAGTTAAAGAAAAAAGATACCGATTAACAGAGGAAGTGTTAAAGATTATGGTGCCTTTAATACAGAATGGCTACATGCATGGACTTTGAAAAGAATCACTCTTTTATCTTTCTCCTGTGAATATTGGTTAGTTCTGCACAAATGTCAGAGGCTTTCAAAAGGAATGATACAGATAATCATTTGGGATCTTGAAAGTCACTCTATAATTAACCAGATACAGAGTTGAAGGCGATGCCAACACAGAGTCTTGTCTCCTGCAAAATGTCTCGGGGAATTTTGAAGCCCAAATTGCCAGTATGGGAGACGTCTGCTTCATCATGGAGATGCAGTCTCTGAGGACCATGCTGCATGGGAAGCCACATGTAAACCTCAGTTCAGCAGGGACACAAGAGTCCACCATAACATTCCAAGTCACCCATCACTTCCAGTAGCTCTTAGGAATTCCCTAGAGTTCTTCCTTCTTTATAAATATTCACCACTACACAAAGATAAAACCTGAAAGTGAAAGTCCATACATGCACCTTGTACAGTGGTCCCTCCAATTACAACTGGCCTGGCATATGAACAACTTGAGTTATGATCAGAATTTTAGTTTTAACTTACAAAGTCTTGAGTTATGACTGGAATGCCAGCTACTTGTGCTTCCAGATGGTCTCAGATACAGATTCAACCCTTAAAGAGTTCTTGACTTGGTGATAAAAAAATAAACCTTAAAGTTTGATAAATTTTTTGAGAAATGAAAAGTATTTGTATGTTCTTTCCAATGGGATATAAGGAATTATTCCATTCCTTCCATTTTCTGAGTTGTGCAAGAGAGTAGGAGAAGGGATCCAAACATGAGAAAATTAAAAAACCCACTACTAGATTAAAATCTAATCATCCTAAATTAGACCAAAATATAAAATAGTATTCTGTTCCCTAGGGAAGAGTCACAATATGATCTTTAGAATGAAATGATGGAAACTAAGAAGAGTGATAATGATAATAATTTATATCATATTATTGACAAAATATTTCATATATATTCTTAATACAAAAATGGGTCATGTGTCTTTATAAATAAGAAAACATAATTTGATATTTTTCAGAATGACATGTATCCAGTAAATGAGAAAAGGTCATGGAATAAGTTTTCTTAATTTGTAATCTGCTGTTTGCCTCTACTCCCATGCTAAACAGAATTGCATAATATTACTTTAATCATATCAACAGATATGCCAGTAAAGAAATGACCAAGAATACAAGAATGCATAGCTAGAATCTTTACTTCATAGTTCTTTATATGTGCAACTAATAATGAAGCACTTTAATTAATGTAAATATTTCTCTCAAAAGAAATATCCTCCTGGATTAGTGAATGGAATCCACTAAAAAGCAGCCAAGCTAAAATTTTCTTCTATGTGCTAGTCAAGGTGTTGCCTGTCCACAGTAAGGGCAATCAATGAGTACTTCATGAATGTTGAAAAATAATTTTAAAAAATTTCAAAGCCCACATATAAGCCTCATATGACGGAGCATGCTTGTTGCCGCTAATATACTTGAGAGGCTGAGGAGGGAGGATCTCTAATACTCACAAGTTAGAGATCAGCTCTGGGAAACATAGTAAGACCATGTCTCAAAATAAATTGAAAAATAAATAAAACTGTTTAAAATGCACAGATAAGTCAGGACTAGGTAGTTGGTGATAAATATTAGAATAATTGATGAGTGAGTTTTGTAGAGGCCAGTCATAGGGTGGAAGTAGGGAGGGATATTTGTCTCTGTTGAAGCAAAATTTCCTTAAGACAATGTTGTCTTGGTACCAAGGTCTTCACAGAAGCAAACTGAAACAGAACTTGAAGGCATTTCTTGTAATTATGTAATTATCTGCCCATTTAAGTAATTTCTTCTGCCATCAATCTGTAAAAGCTTGTTGCTTATGCTGCTGAAGCAAAGCACTCTCAAACTCTTCCAGGTTTGAGTGCTGCTCCAATCCCGAAAAGTTTCATTTGTTCAAATAAACTCTGTCAAATTTATTTTGTCTGAAATGTTCTTTTGTCATCTCTAAAACAGACATTCATGATTTGGGATAGTAGTTAACACAGGGCAGCTCTACAAAGACAAGAGATTACCAAATCTATCTCCTTCCAGGTCTGATAATTTTAGAATCATGATTCCACCCATTTTTTAGATTAGATAAAGTAAATAACAACAACAATATCCACTGTTTTGCTATTATTTGCTGTTTTGAGTATCTCCTTTACTTGTCAGGTGTTATTATACCATTTTACAAATGAGAAAACTGAAAAGGGCAACTTGCTGGTCCCGTGTGAGATTCATGCTCTCCGTGCAGTTGCACTCTGATTCCTGTTCACATGGTAAGTGTGTATTGCGATTTACTGCCCCATAACAAAAGTGCATAAACAGCATTTTATCCCTTAAAATATAGGTATGTAGATGATTTCTATAAACATGTCTAAATTGTTTCCTTATGGTGCTTGAAAGAGACTCCATTGTAGTCAACCCAGATTAACCAAAATGAGTAGGTACTTGCTTTCATTGAATTGCTCAAAATCCTCCAAATTTTATAGACTCTAAATAGTTTAGGAGGGATATATGTAAGGATTTTTTTTTAATTTAAAAATATAAGCAGTATTATTTTGTGATTTCAAAAGAAGTATTTGCTCCTAATTAGTAGAAAGCTTTGTTACAGTACACAAAAATGTAATGACATGAATAAAAGTCACATAATTAAGTGTTAAGTGTGGAGTGTGAGCTCCCACCCAGCTGAAAACTTCCCCTTATGCTATGTTTTGGCTTTTCAGTGCTTGGGCACTTTTCTTATTGTTGCACAGCCAGATACATGCACATACACAAACAGACAGGGTTACATGTCACACAAAATGTGGTAAAATCAAACTTCTGCACCCATAAAAGGAGAAAGAAGATGTAATAGATCTAAGTCCAAGTGTGGAAAATAGTGTCCTGTGCTACTGTGCTTTTCAAAAGTAAAAGCAAAAAGGTATATGGTTTATTATGGAGAGAGACAGAAACATTCTAAAACACAGTCGTTGTGGTGATAGCACCACCTCATGAATATGCCAAAAAATATTGTATGCAATCACCAGTGAATTGTACGGCTGCGAGTTACTCTTGAATAAAGTTTTAACGATCATAAAGGTTATTTGGAACTTAAAAGTTGTCCTGGGGCCAAGGATCAACACTGGCACATCAAGGGACAGCTGTGACAAAATTATGAACAACAAAAAGTGGATCTCGGCGAACTCATGTGCTGCCACATGTACTGGGCAAAGCATGTTTCCGGGGACCTCCTGAGGACAGGAAAACTTCTAGTTAGATCAGCTGTGGGTCCCATCCTTCAGCACATCTCACAGGTACCCAGGGGACTTTAGAATACACTTGTGCCGGAGAGGGCAAGGGTTAGACTTATTTTGAATAACGTAGGGCTGATTATGGACTTATTTTTCTAAATATGTCTAGTGTGCAACTAGGATTGTGAGCAGATGGTTCTGAGGGGAGATTTGTGGGCACCACGACAAGAAATAGTAGTTATGATCCTCAGACTGCCTCCCCGAGTTGCTATCTAGGGTCAGGCAGGCTGGTGCAGCTCCGGGATCTTCCTGCCCCCGTTCAACCCTAGCATCTCCTGTCTAGTTCTGATCCTGGCCTTGTTTGTGACGCCTCAGAGCTCCACCTCTCCACAGGTTTCTATTTTTGTAGTAAAGCAAACAAATCAGCACTTTATCGTACACTCTTTCCTACTAATTACTTCATAAATGTTTATCTTGCCTTCCCAACAAGATGGTAAATTATATTATTTTTTTTTTTTAGAAACACAGTGGCAACAATTTGAATAAAGCATTTCCACAAACTTTGAAACAGTCCCTGAAAAGTATTTTTGCTCTTTTCAGATGAGTAAAACACATGTGAAAGAGAAAATACATGAAAAATTAGGAGAAAATATGCAAATTGGCATTTTCTGCAAAATTTCTTAGAAATCTCTTTGTGAATGTATTTTATTTGTTAAAACAAGATTATTCGGTAAAGAAGCAAGAACGCCAAGATGTAAATCTGGTTTTGAATCAAAACGCTCTCCCTGAGGCAGATCTTGGGCCTGTGGACTCCTTGCCCTGCTTTGCTGGCGTCACAGGGCATCTCTGTGGCTACATTTCTCCCGATGCCTGGTTTCCAGCTGAATTTGGCCAGTAGTGGGTGGGTGAGAAACTAGAAGGGGGTAATATTTCCCTGCTTCTCTCTGCTCCTGAGGGGACTCACCTTTCTGTCTGTCTCTTTCAGGCTAAGCCAATCATGCTTCCTCCCAGCTTCTGCAGGGTGACGCTGCACCTCCCACTGCCCCTCCAGCCTAGGGTTGGTATCAGCTTCCTGTGATTTCTTGTTTCTGGATTGTCTCATCTTTCCGGCTAGTTTCTCTGCTTTACCCAGCTAATTTCTTATATTGCATTCCTTTTGTATTCAATACTCAGAGGTGTTCCTGTCTTAGTTGACTGTGATAAACTCTGATAGGATAGAAAGAGAATGGGTTTGGAAGGCTCTGTGACCCTGGACAAGTAATTTAACCTTTCAGCTTCTTCTCAAAATGGAATGGATGGTAGCTACCCCTGGGGTGAGGTGACTAAAGCTTTTGTTAAAAAGGAGCTGGGCTCAATGTGTTCATTTTGAGAATACAAGAAAAGCTACTCCTTTCCCTTTTTTCTCTTGGTACCAGTCTTACTGTGATGAATTATGAGACGTGAAATGAATAAGTAAGAAAACATTTTCAGGTGACAATTATACGGTTATAAACGTGAGAGCCAAAGAATTTAGGTTTTGTTTTCTCCAAAGTACAAATACGCCAGATTCACCTGATAAGCTTTTGTTTAGACTTTGTCTGTCACCCGACTGCGTATTATATTAGTTTCACACCTCCTTATTATATCAGCGGTATTAAACTACATAGGAGATAGAAAATTCCTTTTTCCAATAAGATATTG